GAGACTCCAACTCAAAAAAAAAAAAAACAAAAAAAATTACAAGGTAGGGCCAGGTGTGATATGGCTCATGCCTGCAGTCCCAGCACTTTGGGAAACCCAGGTAGGAGGATCACTTGAGGCCAGGAGTTTGAAGCCAGCCTGGGCAACATAGCAAGACTCTGTCTCTACAAATAAATAAATAAATAACTGGGTGTGGTGAGTGTGCTTGTAGTCCCAGCTACTTGGGAAGCTGGGGCAGGAGGATGGTATGAGCCCAGAAGTTGAAGACTGCAGAGAACTATGATCACAGCCCTGAACTTCAACTTCAGCTGGGTTGACAGAGAGAGACCCTGTTTAAAATATATATTTGAGCTGGGAGTAGTGGCTCATGCCTATAATCCCAGCACTTTGGGAGGGTGAGGTGAGAGGACTGTTTGAGCCCATGGGTTTGAGACCAGTCTGGGCAACTTGGTGAGACCTCATCTCTACAATAAATCAAAAAATAAGCCAGGCATGGTGGCCTGAGCCTGTAGTTCCAACTACTTGGAAGGCTGCTGTGGAAGGATCACCCGAGCTCAGCAGGTCAAGGCTATGGTGGCCGTGAGTGTGCCACTGCACTCCAACCTGGGTGACAGAGTGAGACGACTCACAAAAAAAAGTATGTATATATATTTGCAAGGCAACCAGAGATGACCACTCCCGGGTGACTCCTGAGGCTGGAGCTGAGTGAGTACCTGGGACCTTTGTAGTACAGGATGCCATCCCAACTCCCCATGAAGGCTAGAATACCGGCTTCTCCACTTTTTTGTATGTTTGAGTAAGTTTGAAAGCGTCTATTATTAAAATTTTTTGTTTGTTTTTGAGTTGGCATCTCACTCCGTCACCCAGGCTGGAGTGCAATGGCACGCTCACGGCCACCGCAGCCCCGACCTGCTGGGCTTAGGCTATCCTTCCGCCTCAGCTTTCCACGTAAGAAAATCTTTAAAACACTCATTATGTCTTCAGTTCACCGCGGTCATGACCAAACCCAAGCGCCTTTTTTTTTTTTTTTTTTAAAGAAAGTAAAATTTGCCGGGCTCGGTGGCTCAGCCTGTAATCCCGCGCCTTGAGGAGGCTGAGGTGAGTGGATTGCCTGAGCCCGCGGGTTCGAGACCCACCTGGGCAGGAGACCTCATCTCTACCATAAATCCAAAAATCAGCCGGGCGTGGTAGCGCATGCCTGTAATTCCAGCTACTCGGAAGGCTGAGGCGGAAGGATCGCCGGAGCCCAGCGGGTCGAGGCTGCGGTGGCCGGAGCGGCCGCTGCACTCCAGTCTGGGCGCCAGAGTGAGACTCCAACTCAAAAAAAAAAAAGAAAGTAGAATTTATTGAGAGGACAGAAAAGCTCCCAGAGCGGGAGGGGACCCAGGGGGTTGCCCCCAAGCTCCTTTATTAGGCCGTGTGGTCGTGCCGTGCTTCACCTGGGGGTGGCCCGAGGCCTTACAACCGCCTCCTGGGGTTCCGGGTGGTTTTCGTACCTGCCGGAGGCAGCTCCCCGCTGACTCCTGCAGCTTCGACCCATTCCGCGGACGGCGCTCCGCCCAGTGGCGGGACCTCAGCCACACGCCCCCCCATCCCCGCCCCTCCGGTTCTCCCGGCCCAGGCGTCCGCGAGACCCCGCCTGCCCCCCCCGGCTATCCGCCCCGCCCCTTTTCCTGGGTATCGGGTCCCCAGGCCTCGCACGATCCGCCCCTCCCCCACACAAAGCCCCTGGGGGTCCTGGCCGGACAGCCCGGGACTAGAGGGCGGAAATCCTCCCGAAGGGAGGCCCGACCTGGCTCAGGCTCCGCCCTGGGAGGCCGCGTGCGGCGCCAACCAGAGGGAGTGCTAGCCCCGCGCCAGGGGCAACTCGGGAGCCAGCGGGGCCCAGGCTCGAACCCACGACTCACCAGGCCGCTGCGACAGTCGCCCGCTCCGCCGCCGCTGCCGCCGCGGGCCGACCGACCACCTGCCCTGGAAGTCCGGCCCGTCCCTTGCCGCCGCCGGCCGGGCCTACCGGCCTCCCGCCCGGAATTTCCGGCGGCCCCGCCTCTGCCGACGCGGGGTTGGTCTCCTGCCGGCCGTTACTTCCGCCCGCAAGGGCCGGGGCTTCTCTCGCCCTGGGGGTCTTCCTGCATCAGCGTCGCGCCGTCCCGGATCCCCGCTGCAACGTGACGCGGCCGGGCCGAGGCCTTCCTCCCGGGCACCGGCTCCTCCAGGCTGCGGCGCCACTGGGAGGAGCCCCGATCCCGTGGCCCGGCGTCGAAGGCCCGGGTCCCGCCGCCTCCCGCGGTTCTTAGGGCTGCACCCGGGTTATCCCTCCCGCCCTGGCCGCCCAAGTTTCATACAATTCGACGTTTGCTCCCCACTCGCTCTTACAAAATCAGGAACATACCTCGGCTTCTGCCCGTTTGCCGATACCGGCAGTTCCCCGCTCGGCTAGGGGCTTGGTGGTGGCAGGGACCCGGCTCGGTCCCTGCCTCTGCGGTGGGCGTCCTGCCCGGGGATGGCACTCGGGAGTCCCTGGTGAAGGAATGGCTGAGCTGGAGCAAGGGATGCGGGGAAACAGCGGACACTTAGGAGAACCTCACCCCTCTGCGGGCTGGGACTGATGAGATGCAAAATTACAACCAGGGCGGGGCGCCGCGGCTCCCGCCTGTGATCCCAGCACTTTGGGAGGTCAGGAGTTCGAGATCGGCCTGGGCAACTGGGCAGGACCTCATATCTACAATAAAATCAAAAAATTAGCCGGACGTGGTGGCGCTAGCCTGGGATTCCAGCTACTTGGGAGGCCGAGGCGGAAGGATCGCCCGAGCCCAGCAGGTCAAGGCTGCAGCTGCTGTGAGTGTGCCACTGCACTCCAGCCTGGGTGACAGAAGACCCTGACTCAGACAAACAGACAAACAAGCCCTGAATAGCTATTTTTTGAACTTTTACTTTAAGCCAAACACTGCATCACGCACATTATTCTCATTTAATCTTCAAATAACAAGAGGGGGCTGGCACCATGGCTCACCCCAGTAATCCTAGCACTTTAGGAGGCCAAGCCAGAGAATAGCTTTGAGGCCAGGAATTTGAGACCAGACCGGGAAACACAGCAAGACCCTGTCTCTAAAAAAAAAATTTTTTAATTTAGCTGGACATGGTGGTTTGCACCTGTAGTCCCAGCTACTTGGGAGGCTGAGGCAGAAGGATCTTTTGAGCCCAGGAGTTCAAGGTTACAGTGAGCTATGATTGTACCACTGCACTCCAGCCTGGGTGACATAGGGGGACCTTGTCTCAAAAACAAAACAAAACAAAAGTAACAATTTGTGAGTGAAGATCAGAGGTGAAGTAATTTGGTTAAAGTTAAACAACTTTTGAACTAAATACTTGAGTTTACTGAATGTTTGAATTGTAATAATTTCTTTTTTTTTTTTTGAGTTGGGGTCTCACTCTGTCACCCAGGCTGGAGTGCAGTGGCACAATCTTGGCTCACTGTAGCCTTAACCTCCTGGACTCAGGACATCCTTCTAAGTAGCTGAGACTATAGACGCGAGCCACCATGCCCTAATTTTTTTTTTTTTTTTTTAATAGAGACAGGGTCTTGCTATGTTGCCCAGGCTAGTCTTGAACTCCTGAGCACAGGAGAGTCTTCCACCTCTGCTTCCTAAAGTGCTGGGATTACAGGCATGAACCACTACACCTGGCCTTTGAATGTTTGAATTGTAGAAAAGTTGACTATTAATGTACTAGAGAAACAAAATATCCAAGTTGGCATATTTGGAGTCCAAGGAATGCCAAGATGTGCTTGTATATTTTATGGCACCATCTATCTGGACTAAAAAGAACAGGAGATTAGTCTGCCAAAAGCTTATTCCTAGCCTTGTAAAGGGTGCCGGGGGCCCCAGTATTTAGGACCTCAGAATTTCCTTAGTTGGCTCTGTCAGTGGCCAAGCTGAGCAGGGCTGTGCACTGGGTTATTTATTTGATACAGCCACAAAGAAAATCTCACATTTGCCTGACTTGTGAGACTGACAAAAGAGAAAAGCCCAGGGCCTGGCGTCACTAGGGAATTCTGACATCAGGACGCTAGTTTTTTTTTGTCCCAGGACAAAAAACCCTAATCCCTACTGACTACCACAGAGGTCAGGTCTGGTGGTCAAGCCTGCAAGGAAAGGAACAAGGACCCTAAACATTAGAAAAAAACAGACTGAGACTGAGAAAGAGGTTTCCCAATTCACACTGGGAAGGCCAGGAGAAAGGTCAGTCCCTCACCCACACCCAGCAGAGTAATATCCCAGCCACGGGTGTGTGTGTGTGTGTGTGTGTGTGTGTGTGTGTGTGTGTGTGTAAAAAATAACAAAGCCAAAAGGCATTTGTGTGTGTGTGTGTGTGTGTGTGTGTGTGTGTGTAAAAAATAACAAAGCCAAAAGGCACCTGGTCCAGGGGTGCATTTGGAGCCAGTCCATGTTCCAGAAGGACTGGAATCTTTGAAACCTCACCTTCACCATGTTGGCCACATACACATACACCTAGGCTTAATGCCTTTAAACCAAATCCCTTAAATAAAAAAGAAAAAGCCGGCCGGGTTCAGTGGCTCAGTCTGTAATCCCAGCACTTTGGGAGGCTGAGGTGAGTGGATCGCCTGAGCCCACGGGTTCGA